CAGCTCAAAACACCAAGTCCCATATTGCACACCTCACGTCTGCCTTTCATCATCCATCAAAATAGCAAGTGGAGCCCAGCACTCCCACTTCAGCACAAGCAAAACATGTGGGAACTCGAGGCAGTTTGTAGGAAAACGTGATACAGCCTTTCTAATAAAAGCTCCCGCTTTCCTCACTATGGAAAACAGTTGCAAATGGGTTTCTGCAGCCTGAGACTCGACAGCAGGGCAACAGGAAAACGCTGTGCTTGGCTCTTCCCAGCCCCAGCTTCCATGGTTTCACTGCCAACCCCCCCAGCCCCACGAGCAGAGTGGAGCCCAGCACCATCCTGCTCCCACCACGGGCACCAGATCCTGCCCGGCCCACTCGGGGCTTCCTGACACAGGGCTGCCTGCACACAGTAACTAATTAAACCTTCAAACAGCTCCCCCACAGCACCAATTAAAGAGACAACCCCAGCTTTCATAGAATTTATGACTTTCAGTGCTGTTGCCACAGGTATCCAGGTTCGAGCGTTGTTTAAAGCGGGTTTCAAAGGGGATCCGGACTCGCCTCCCTCCGGGGAGAATCCATTTGCTTTGTTCACTAGACTATAACTTAAAATTTGTTACATGCACCAGCTTGTAACTCTTTGAAAAACTCCCTGCTCAGCCAGCTTCAAATGTACGTGATGAACTTCCCCCGATCAAAGCAATTCCCCCACGAGGAGCCTCAGCTCACGAGCAAGAAGGGACACAACAAATTTTGGGGGTGGGAATCACGGCACAGGCCAGGAGGGGACTCTTCCCCCAAATCCACCAGAGAGCCCAAGCCAAGGAGCTCGCTTTGGCACAAAGCAAGAAGAAAAAGGCATTTAGTGGTGAATTAGCTTGCTTAAAAGGCAAAAAACCAAAAAACCCCCTATTTTTTAGCAGAGGTTTTATCTGTTGTCTGTGAGCAGAAGACCCCCGGGCTCCTCTTCCAGTAGGACCCAATCCTGACACCCCACACCAGGGATGTGGAGTGAGATGGTTGAACACTCTCCACATTACCCACAGATGGAAGTGCTGCTCCCGTGCTGCCCCAGGACATGTGTTACCTTGGGTTCATCCCCCTGCCCTGCAGAGCCCAAACTCCTTTGCTGAGGCAAAGGCTCAGCTTGCACGAAAGCTCAGCAGCCACAGGGCACCAGCCCCAGCACAGCCCGACCTCGCTGCCTCCTGCCACTGCTGCCGTCCCAACATCCCTTAAAATGGTCTCTTCCAGGTGAAATCCAGCCCCAGGCAGGTTTAAGGAAGCACTGCCAGGGAGCTGGGTGCTGCTCAGATTAGTCATTTATGAACTGTGACACCGTGGAGGACACGGCTCACAATGTATTTGCTACTACAAACAACAAACAGCTCAGGGAGGGGCCGGTGAAACCGCTGCCTCTGAGGGCAGGACAACGGGCACGACGGGCTAAAATAAAACCCCAATGACCCACGGCCCAGGCTGGAAAACACTGGGTTGGAGCTCCAAGCCCCGGGAGGACCAACTTCCCGTGGTGACCTATATGTGCTATAAATGCCGCAGACACGGGCCGTGTGACGTCAGCTCCAAACTCGTGGCAATTGTTGGGTTTCTCCTTGCCAAGAAAAGGCAAAAGCGGAGGTGCTGAATTGTCCGGGCGGCGGGGGAGCGAAAGCAGTTCCTCCCCGGAGCATTTGAGGACAGAAACGAGGGAAACAGCGGCAGCAGAGCTTAAAATAAAAGCACAGGAGGCAAATAGGAAGAGAGGAGGGATCTCGAAGCTGGAGGGTTTGGGTTAACACTTTGGGTTTTTATGGTCCGGGAGAGGAAAACGGGTTCCCCTTGGCAAAGGGGTCACCAACACCTTGGGCAATCACCAGAATCATGGAATTGCTGATCAGAACCATGGAAAAGACTTGTGAGATCATAATGTCCAACCCCACCATGGTCACCACTCAACCACGTCCCGAGTGCCACATCCATGTGTTGTTTGAACACTTCCAGGGATGGTGACTCCACCACTGCCCTGGGCAGCCTGTGCCAATGGTTAACAACCTCTCTGGTAAAGAAGTTTTGGATTTGAAAAGGATTTGAATTTGATGTGATTTTACAGCTGGGATTCTCCTGAAGCACTGTTTCAAATGCCTGTGCTCCCTTATTTACCAGTTGCACTTGGGAAGCAAGAACCTTTTCTTGGCAAGTGGGGCATTTTGGATGGCAGTGATCAGTCAGTGCAGTGCCTTGCTCTCTTCACTCCTCACTTCCCCTGGGGAGGAAAGAGCCTTGAGGAAACAGCTCCTCTGGAGGGGAAAAATCATAAAAGCTACACACTGCTCCAGGATTTCCAGGAGGAGGAGAGAGATGGAAAGGGGGAGCCATGAATTCCCATGTCCAGCCCAAATGCCATCAACCCAATGATGGGATCCCATCCTGTGTGGACAGAGGGATGAAACGCCAATTTTTCTGGCACGTAGGACAACATCAGTTTATTATTTTGGGCCTAATACAATGAGCCCAAATGATGAGATCCTGGCACTGAGATGGGGCTTTGTGAGCACTGAGCTCAGACTTACACAAATCAGTGTTTGCTTCTCCTTTCTGGGCAGAGATGGAGAGGAAATGCTGCTCTGCCCTCATTGGTGGCACAGGCCCTGACTGAGCAGGAGTGCTGGAAACACAAGGCACAACAAAGATGAAGCCTTGGCCTTCCTGCATGACAAGCCTTAGGGAGTTAATCTCCAGGGCCAGATTATGGCTTGGCTGTGAGACACTCTGCTCCCTCAGCAAGCCCAGGTCCCCAAATCCAAGGACCATCTGCTTTTCACCCTCTGACCACATCAGGGTTAGTGAAGATTCGACTTCAAATCAAATTTTGAGCTGGATGGCTGGGTATGTTTTTGGGGATCAACCACCTTTGGGGATGAACCACCTTTGGGGATGATCAGGGCCAGGTTGGATTGGGCTTGGAGCAACCTGGTCTAGTGGAAGGCATGGCAGGGGTGGAACTCCATGATTTTATGATTCTAACTAGCACCTGATTGCACCTTGCTGACTATTAGTGAATAAAGGTAGAACATCCACAAACTATGAAAACAACCACTTGCCACTATCTAGGACCTTGTTTAGACCCTTTGGAGCCTTCTAACAGGCAGAGCACACCCCTGGTTGCCAGGGAAGGCCTAAATCAAACCATTACAGCATGGAACATCTCACTGATGTCTTCCCGCAGTCATTCACTCCACCAGCAAAAAGCCAAAGATTCAGGAATAGGGAGAAGCCCCAAAGCCAACACACAAACGAAATGTATCCCCCGCCCTGAGGTGAGGCCAAGGATGGCTGCCCCAGGGATAACTCTGCTGCTGGAGCAAAACCTTTCCCAGAGCTAAATTCCCAATCCAGGATGCTCACGGCGGGACGAGGGAGCCTTGGCAGAGCCCAGGCCTGGGACAGCAGGGATTGTGCAACGTCCTCCAGCTCAGTTGTATAACACCAGTGCTCTGCTTTCATGACTTCTCACAGTCAGCCCCGGAGAGCAGCAGCCCAGAGGAAGGGTGGTGTCAACGTTACCTTTCACTCACCCGAAAGAAGAGAAGGGGCGGGGGGGGGGGGGGGGGGGGTTTGGGGGGCTTCCGGGGGGGGGGGGGCCAGGCGGGGGGGGGGGGGGGGGGGGGGGGGGTCAGAGATTCGGTGTCGTTCCGGCGGCTGCGGAGCCAAGCAGGGGGGGTCCGGCTGTGCCTCTGCTCCTGGCCAGCACCACAGGCTCCGAGCAGGAAACACATGAATGCCATTGCTCCTCTCCCCCCCAGTGTGGAGCACGTCTTTTGTGGGATTATTTTAACAGCAGAAGTCGCGCAAGGAACACTCGCCTGGAGAGATCGGCTTCCATCTGGGTTAACCCGAGAGTTTTCCCCCCCCTCCAATTTCCTCCAGCCCACTCAACAGCTTCCCTCCCTGGAAAAGTGTTTGCTCGAAACCATCTTGATGTGCAGCTAAACGGCTCAATCCCAAAGCAGCACATTTCCCTGGTCAAAGAGGGTACGAGAGCAGGGCAGGGGAGAGCCCCCCATCCTGCTGCTGCAGGTTCCCCAGTGCCCCACAACACGCTGGGGCACCAAAGGTGCTCTCCAGAAATCTCCAGGATGGCACAGCATGGCTGTTCCACGTGGCCAGGGGTTTCCCTGGACAGCTGGAGTCAGCCCACGGTAGAGAAGGTTGAGTTTTAACCATCCACAAGGTGCTCAGCAAGAAGGGCAAATGAAGGAACTTCCCACGTGTCAGGGGCCGTGTGAGCCCCCCACAGAGCAGCTTCCTCAGGCATCAAAAATCCAGCACAGCACTGCCCAGGAATTCTCCACTTCAGCCTCAAACCCACGAGCAGCACATTTCCCATCAGACATCTGAAGCCACACACCCTGCAGAGTCTCCATCACACCCAGATCACCAGCCTCCTCCTCCTCCCCGGAGCTGTCCTGCTCCCAAAGCAACTCCTTGGATGTTGGCATCCCTGGCCCCCTCTTGGCACCCTGGAAGCATCCAGCCAGGAAGGCTTCACAAGATCCCTTCGGGAATGCTGAGATCCCACCCAGGGAGCCTCTGGAGGGACTGCAAGGAGCAGCCACCCAAACTGCAGCCGAGCCCCAGGAATGAACCACCACCACCACGTCTTCAAAAAAGGAACAGCAAAAGTCTTCCAGGGCAGTGCAGACATGTCTAAGCAGCTTAGAGAACAGCCCTGATTGTCTGCTCCCAGGATCCTGGAGCGGTGGGACAACAATCTCCAGCTCAGGCAGCAACTTCTTAACAGGAGACAGATCAGCAAGAGCAGCTTTGCCCACCCAGAGACACACGGAGCAACAAGAAAACCATCCAGAGAAACAGCAGCAGATCCATCACCAGAAAAACACATAACAGAACTACACCAACCCCTCCTTTGGTGTCTCTGGAACCAAACACAAATTTATTGCGAGAATCATTATGGTATTAGGAAAAAAAAAAAGCAAGATGACAGTACCTGATCCTCCAAACTGAGTGCTCGCTAGGGTCGTGGGTCTGTTTTTTCCATTAGCCACTGGCAGGGGAAACATCTAGAAAAACAAGAAGATGAGAGAGAAGGGAAGAGAAAAGAGATTTCAGTCTGTTAGTTTTACTGTGCTGCTGCAAAGGGGTCAGATTGGGGGAGGAAAGGGGGAAGAGGAGCACTTTATTGATGCAAAAAACTTCCCTCTCCTCGTGTCCCTGCTCCGTGGATCAGCTGCAGGAGGGGCAGGAGAGCAGCTCTGCACTAACACAACCTGACACAGGGATGGGGTCACAGCACCAAGTCAGACAGTTCAAGAAGTGTTTGGACAGTGCTCCCAGGCACAGGGTGTGACTCTTGGGCATGGCCCTGTGCAGGGACAGCAGTTGGACTCGCTGATCCCTGTGGGTCCCTTCCAACTCAGCACACCCTGTGATTCTGTGATGCTCCTGTGTCCACAGCGTGCCTGGTTCCTTGTGTGCAACCAAAAACCAGCCCAGGAGCATCAGTGCTGTGGTCAAACCCAGCAGGTTCTTCCCTAACTTGCTCACCAGGGCCCTCCCTGCAGGGTGCCCACGGGGCCAACTCCATTCATAGAAACCCAGCACAAAAACGACCCTGCAGCACCTCGAAAAGCTCATTTCACCCCTCCCCATCCCAGCTCCCACAGCACTCCGGGTCTCATCCCACCTCTCTGGACACACACAGTGCCTGGGCAGGACGTGGGCTGCCCATGGGTCTGGCTGGCACAGGCAGAGGTGACTCAGCCCCAGGATCTGGCACTGCCCGAGCTCGGCGCCAGCCCTGCAGGATGAGCCCTCCAGCCTCCCAGAGCAGCTCCCACCCCTCCAGCCTCCCAGAGCAGCTCCCACCCCGCTGCTCCAGCAGCCCCAGGACCCAACACAGCCCCGGGGTCTGGGGGAAGAAGCTACTCCAAGTGCAAAGGTTTCAAAAATGAACCTATTTTACAGTATTAGTCACTCTGGGGACTTGTTTTCTCTACTGCTGCAGCTTCATTATCACAACTGAGCTTCTCCTGCCAGGAGCTTCCTCAAAAACACTGCACACCTCATCACCTAACCTGTATAAATATTTTTAATAAAAGTTGGGAGAGTTTCAGAAGCTGTTATTTAATAATTTACATGCACCTGCGTGCAGCAGAAAAGAAAACTAATTCTCCTCCACACAAATGGAGCTCCAGCCAATAAAACAACTGGTGGGAAAACGTTTAGTGAATTAACATTTTAATATCCTTTTTCTACTCAAGATACTTTCACCACCAAGTCATTTGAATTTTTATTATTTTTAGCTTTGTAATGTCTGAGCAACTCAAAAGTTTAATGCTTTGAAGATTAAACAATGTAATGGCACAAGAGCCTACAGAAATGCAGCGTTTCATGCCCTGACATAGCTGATGTCTGGCTGTGGTCAGAAACATTCCTTTGTGCAGAGCAGTCTGCCCAGCTTTGTTTTCACAAATGCTGGGGAGAAAAAAAAAAAACAACCAACAAAAAACAAAACCAACAAAAAACAGTTAAATGTGGTAGAGATGCAAAGAGAGCAGTTAAGGAACCAACTGCCATTCATAAAGAGCACAAATTTGGGATCATATATATGCATGCACGGGGTGTAGATGTTCCATATATGGATTTAAACAAAGGTGTAAACAGTGTTTAAGCATCCTGGCACTGCTGCCAGCACCTGCCCACACCGGGCTGCCCAGGGACCCCCACCATGGGGGGAGCCCCTGCTGCCCACCCGAGGGGCTCCACAGGTATTTGGGGCGGCCCCACCATCAGATGACACTTGTTTCCTCAGGAAGTTGGGCTAGAAAATAAAAACAAACCCCAACACACCGAAGGTTGCAGCCAACCTTCCTCCCTGCACTGCTGCAGGGCTTCCCTTGCAGGGCAGGGGGTGGTTTTGTGCAAAGACCTCCGAAACTGCTGAAAATGGAATTTACGGGGCTGATCCCACCCAGGCTGTGCTCACTCCCTCGTCTTAAGGTAGGGAAGAGGATTAAGTGGTTAGAAACCCTCTCTCCAAGGGCAGGTCTGCATGTGCAAGCACGGGGGGAAGGGATGCACGATGAACCCAGGAACCCAAAAAAAGAAATAATAATAAAAAAAAAACCAAATGAAACCCCAAGGCACTGCTGGCTCGTTTCCATGAGCATTTCTGCTCAGCACTTGCTGAGGCTGAAAAACCCGAGGTTTGAGCACCAAACACAAGTGGAGAAAATGAACAGCTTTGTTCCACTGTGCACCCAGAGCCTTCTGCTTCTGCAGAACAGAAGGTGGGTTCCCCCCACCCCTGGTGATCCCCAGCACGCCCACCATCCCTAAAACACCCCCAGAGCCCCGGGGATGCCCTCCCCTCCTCCACCTGCTTTCAGAGGTGTTTTGAGGCTGATGCAACACCTTCCTGCTCTCCCTCCCCAGGGGATTTAGGAGTCACAGACCCCTTCCCACACCAGGGGATGCTGAAGCACAGAATCCTGGAATGTCCCGAGTTGGGAGGGACCCACAGGGATCATCCAATCCAACTCCTGGCCCTGCACAGACACCCCAACAATCCCACCCTGTCCCTCAGAGCGTTGTCCAAACGCTCCTGGAGCTCTGGCAGCCTTGGGGCTGTGCCCACTGCCCTGGGGAGCCTGGGCAGTGCCCCAGCACCCTCTGAGGGAAGAACCTTTCCCTGAGATCCATCCCAACCCCCCTGGCACAGCTCCAGCCGCTAAAGCAGGGTGACGGGGAGGGGGGGAACCCCGGGTTACCCCTCCACACTCATCACTTGGCAGTCCCAGGAAGTGTTTTGGGGTGTTTTTTTTTCTTGCTCCCAGCTTCTTTTTCCACTGTGGTGTGGGCTGCAGCCCCGAGGAGCCGGCACAAGTCATACGTGAAGTGCCGCCTGCCCTCGCTGGCGTGTGTCGCTCACAGGCAAAGTTCACCCACCCACTGCAAATTTCCTTTCTGCTTTTAAAATGCTGCTTTAAAAATAAACTGGGAGGGGGGCAGGGAGGAGATGAACCGGAGCTGGCACCTACGGAGGGACCCAGGCATTGAGGAGGGACCCAGACACGAGCTCTCAAGGGTTGTAATTGGGTCATTACTTGGCCTTTGTTAGATTTGAATAATGTAGATTGAAACGGTTATGTAAAATCCCCCATCTTAAGTCGCTGCCTTTGGTTTTTCAAGTCCTACCTCCTGCCTCCCTGAGAGCTGACAACTTCTGCACACCCTTGTAGCTCCATTTCCACCCCTCCCAAAGAATTTATTCTCCATCCACTTCTCCCAGGGCAAATCCAGCACATGGGAGGATCCAAACACCCGCACCCTCCCCCGGGGAGGTTATAGCCAAGACACCCCAAACTTTCACCAGCAAACTCATAGGCAAGAAAGAGAATTTGCCAGACACAAGGAACATCAAGCAGCATTTCATATATTGTGCACTTCTACCAGCACATCACTTTTCAAATTAAATCAGTTTTCATTTTCTCTTCCTCCCACCTTTTGAACTCCAGGCTGACCCAACCTCAAGCCTGAACTCCAAACCTGAAATCTGTTTTGCAGCGTGGAAAGTATCCAGCTGTTAATCTGGGGAGAAGAGGGAATTCGGCTCAAAACCCACTGCCAGCAGGACATTCTATACGTGTTCACCTAAGACAGACCTTCCTGACTGCGGCCCCAAACGCCCACTGCGGCGTGGAGTCAAACTTTACAACTGCTCCGCTCTGAACAAAAGTGAGAGGTTTATCATGGAAAGGCAGGCATTGGGCCTTGGCTGGAGCAGGGCACAGCTTCAGCATCCTCCAGCAGGGCAGGAGGAGCTGCTCGAGCTCTGCTTGCTGCCAACAGCCAGGCACTCCAGCCCCGCTTCCACGGCTGGAGCCACGGGGGCCGGAGCGCGGCGGGGAAATGAGCCGGCAGGTCCTGTGCGACTGCTCAGGCCCCTGCCCACCCTGCACCGTCTCATCGAGCCAGAAACCCCCTCTGACAGCAGCCTCCCCGCAGCATATGGTTAATACTCTGCTAATAATCATGGCTGTTAACAGCATCTCGCTCCTGCCAGAGCCCCCGGCTGGCACCGAGCCGCTGCTGCTCTCCGGCTCCGCGGGCGCTCGGCAGCACGGACGGACCCCCCCGGGGCTGCTCTGCTCCAGCTCGGCCGTGCCCAGGGGTGCCCCTGCCCTTGGAGCATCCCAGCCCAGCCAGGATACCCGCCCACACCTTCCCACAACACACCAGCAGTGGCATAGATGGTCTGGGATAACCAATAACCACGAGTCATAGAACAGCAGAATGTCCCGAGTTGGAAGGGACCCACAAGGATCATCCAGTCCAACTCCAGGCCCCGCACAGGACACCCCAATAATCCCACCCTGTCCCTCAGAGCATTGTCCTGGAGCTCTGGCAGCCTTGGGGCTGTGCCCACTGCCCTGGGGAGCCTGGGCAGTGCCCCAGCACCCTCTGGGGGAAGAACCATTCCTTAATTTCCGAGTCCTTGTGGTCCATCATCTCCCAGGAGCACAGGCCGAGGGCAGCTCCTGCTGCACGAAGCCTGCACCTGCCAGACTGACCTGCAGAGCCTGGCAGCCCCCAAAGCCCAGCCTAATGCATGGGTTGAGCTGCCCACTGGGGTGGATGTGCAGGATGTGCAGGATGCTTTCTGGAAAGCTCTTCTCCAGATTTGCCAGCCCGTCCTGGCCGGCTGCCAGGGAGCAGCGGTGAAGGCAAGCTTACAAATTACCTGCACTTTGGGGCAATCATAAAAGGCAATTTGTTCAAGGGTAGAGGTAAGTGTGCTGCCATGCACACCCCAAAGCAGCCATGAGGCTGCATTGCCGGGCCTTTGGTTCCAGCTCACGTAGAGAATCCCTTGATTTTTGCCTTATTGGGAAACTGTGTTGGCACAGAGCTTTGGGGGAGCTCAGGATCTATGCAATGGCATTATTTATGGACAGGACTGTAAGCCCAACTTATAGCATCTCACACAACCCTGCCATTTAATGGCCCAGGAACTCAGGGCAGGCTGTGCAAACCCATCATGGCCAAATCTTAAAATTCCCACAGCAAAACACCGCTCAGGGCTGGACCACAGGCTACTGGGGCTGAGCACATTCTTCCTAGAAAAAAGCAATCCAAACACTGATCTGAAGCAAATGCTTCCAGCTGCTCTGAATATCTCTAGATTTCCCTCCCATCTCCTCTCCTGGAAAGGATTGCAGAACTGATGCTCCACTCCTGTTTATTCAAATTAAAATATAAATATATTTGGAAGAGGGAGCTTTGTGGACAAAAATCCTGCATCCCAAGGACACAGAGAGAGCAAATCACGGAGGAGCCTCTTTGATGGACCCACCATGTACAGTCTAGGAAGCTTTTCCATTTCAGCTACTCATCCTGGAGGAGAGATGTTAATGTTCCCTTTATGCAAACTCAGGAGAAGGGTGTGTGGAGATGAGGGTTTGTGAAACAGAGCTGGCTCTGGTCCAGGCTGCGTCGGAGCCCATCGGCCAACTGATCCTGGAGGGAATGTCTCCGAATCATTTGCTGGCAAATGACATTTGCAGGCCCTGATGCTGCAAGAGCAGCCGCCCCCAGTGCTGCTGCACGAGCCTTTACACCAACACAGGACCGAGTCCTGGTCCTTCCCAGGTTTACACCAGCGTAAAAGCACCGAATCCGAACCCAAATTTGGCGTGGATTCATCTTCAAGGACAGGGACACTCGTGTACAGAGGGAACAGGTCAGGACCCCTCCAGGGAATACAGATCTGAGCATGCAAATGAGGATGGTTCATTAGGTTTGAAAAGGTCTTGGGGTTTTTTTTTTTTGAAGCTCTAAATGGTGAGTGGGATTGGATTTTTTTTCCAAGGGGGAGAAAAAACAAACTGGGAGCTGCTGCAGCCCCGGCCAAGGAGCAGATTCTGGGTTACTGACCCTAAGTGCAGTTCAAAACTCCCAGTGCAGGAGGTGGAAGGCCCCAGGGCTCCTGCCAACCTCCAGGACCTCTGAGAGGGACAAATAACCACACTGCTGCTCCCCAGCAAGCCCTGACCTGATTCCTGGTTTCACAGGGACACTGTCACTGCAGCCCCTGCACCCACTGTAAAACATCCTACTGCAAAAGTCCATCCCTGGTAAATTCACAGAACCAGCCTCCCAACAGAAGGATGACACTGGGAGAACTGGGCCTCTCCTGCAGGAGAATTGCTCTTGTGAGGGCTGAGAGACCCCCCCACCAGCACAAACAGGTACAAACCCCAGCTGTACAGAAAGGTTTATGTCCCACTGCTGAACCTCAGGGCACGGATGCAGAAAAGCAGGTGAGCCTCAGCACATCCACAGGTGTCACAGATACCAGGACTGCAGGTGACCTCAGTTCTGCCACCACTTTTACTCCCCTCTCCAAGGGGCAGGAAATCCAGCCCAGCAGGGCCGTGGGCTGGGTGACCCAGGCCAGCCCAGAGCCACAGCAGTGACACTCCTGGCTATTCCCCCTCCTGGGGCTGTTGTTTCTATCTCTGCAGCACGTTTGCTTATCTAAACAGCAAGGCACACGCTCCAAGTGCCATGAGGGTGCAGCACACAACAGAGGAACCCAGCAGACAGTTGTTTGCTTTTGAACACCAGCTCTGCCCTCCACGAGTCACCTGCCAAGGAGAGGCAGCACCGCCGGCAGCGCGACACGGGACGTGCCAGGGACCGACCCCCCTCTGCCGTGACTAAAGAGACTTCTCCTCCCTCTGAGCTGTGCACACCCTTCGGGGGGAACTCTTTAGGTCCCCTTTCTTTGAAAATAAACAGCTCCTAAACGCAGCTCAAGGTTTCCAGGATACAGAGGAGCAGAGCATGGGGAACACAAGTGTCCGACTCCTGCAAAAATAACGCGCCGGAGAGCTTGGACACGTTTCAAACTGTGACAAAATAACCTGTGGGAGCAAAAGTTTAATAGTCTGGATCTGGGGAGAGGAAAAAAGCTTGATTAATCAGCTACTGAAGTTACATCTCTGCGTGGCTGCAGAAACAGTCACCCGGTGAGCATTTAAACAGAGAACACACAACTCCGTTAATTCCCCCAAAATTTCCCATCCAGAAAAAAAAAAACCTCTCTGCCCTCCCTGCAAGGAAACGACACACGTTTGAGGGGGAGAGGGGGGGAGAGAGGAGGGGCAGAGGCTTTGCTTTAACTTGAAAATAAACAAGTTGCAGCACATGTGCACGCACACAAACACGGCACATCTGAAACCCATCATGTCCAATTTACAGGCTCACATTTCCTCCCTTGTGCAGCTCCCAGCCCCGGCAGAGCCCCGGGGCCTGCCGAGCCCCCCGGCCGCGCTCGCTCACCATACTGAAGTCCAGCAGGTCACTGAGCTCTTTGTCTGTCCCAACTGCAGCCATTCTCTGCTGCTGCTGATTCATATTCCCACAGACTCAACAGTGGCAGTCCTGGAGAAAGCGAGGGGGAGGGGGGGAGAGAGATATTTTAATGACTAGAGCAAACTACCCACCCCATTGATGAATATTTTAAAAAGACAGAGCGGGGGGGGCGAGAAAAGAAGAACCCTCAGCGCGTCCCCAGCGTCCAACTCTGCTCGGAGAGAGCACAGTCGGAGTCCTCACACAGCACCCAGCGGCAGGAACAAGCCCTCTATTGACCAGACACACTTGTATGTTAGTTTTTTGCTGCCAATTCCACTAGTTCGGGCCAATTCTGTTCCCGGCGTGTGGCGAATGAAGGGGAGGGGGGGGGGGAAAAAAAAAGGAAAAAAAAAAAAAAAAAGAGTCAACTCATTTATCAAAGGGTTCAGGCAAGTTATCACTCAGGCGCTTGTCTGGCTCGGCTCGCCCCCTCGCCTTCCCCCACGCTCGCTCCCCGCAGGAGGCTCTCTTGTCCTTGCCTAGTTTTGTTTAAAAAAAAAAAAAGTGAAGGGGAAAAAAAAAAAAAAAAGGCAAAGCAGAAAAAAAAAAAAAAAAAAGTCTGATGTTACAGCTCTTTCCTTCGGGTCGCCGAGCACCTGCAGCTGCTTTTTCAGGGACTGTGTTTGGGGATGCCCAGCCAGGCTGCTGCACTCAGTGAGAACTGAACCCTCTCTGCTCCCAAAAGGGACTGGAAACAAAAAAAAAAATTTTTGTTTTCGGAGTGTTTTTGCAAAAATAAAGCCCTCCAGGCAACCTTGCAAGATAGGTAAATATTATTCTTCCTAATTTTACAGATTATTTTTTTTTCAAAAGGGAGATTGATCTTTTTGGCCAGCTCGCTATAATAGAAAAATATTTCTTTGGGAGGGAGGAAGAGAGGCCTGGGATGAGATAAAAGATTCCCTTTTTTTTTGGCCTTTTTTTTTTTTAGGAACTCATTCATGGTTACAAAGGGCAGCTGGCCAATAAATTTAACTCATTAATCATAAGGTTAAAAAAAAAAAAACAACAAAAAAATCTCTATGTGATCCAAAGCATTTGTAGGCTCAGCCACTACATTTCAACGAAGTTTTATAAAAAACACTGAAATCAGCCCAGCATGTAAAAACCCTTCACCACTATAAAGAAACAGCCAGGGGATTTCTTTTTTTTTTCCCCTTTTTATTTTCTTTGCAAAGCCCTTTTTAAAAGTGTCATCGGTGCAGCAGGTCAGTATTTTTAAAGCCGCTTTCCCAACCTCATGCCCC